TATCTCTAATTACCAAAACAACCATCGTTAATTTCTTAAAATATATTACACAATTACTAAAGTCTGTATTTTCTATTTACAACAGACAAAACGTCAATTTATACTTCTATTTTCTGTTATTGTTGATAACACGAGAAATTAAAATTATATAATCAAGATAAATGATACTCGTCCTCAATAACAATAACATTTGCGTTAAAGTGAGTTTGACAACAATGGAATGTCTGTTATACCATTTATACCTTCGCTGATAGCTTTAACATTATACAAGACAAAATACCCAGAAAGAAGTATACATTGTGTGTTAGACATATGATACGGTATTACGTATCTATATATAGCAGATAATAAATTGTTTTAGACAGGGTCTTTCAAATAGAATGGTCTGTAAAATCAATTTCTATTGTGTCATTGAACATTGCATAGAATAAAAAAAAGCCTATGAAACTTGGACCTATTTTCAAATAATAGCAGTAGATTTTTACTTTGACACCAGGAACGATAAATTTCTTATTTCTTTGCAAATCCATAAAAAAAATACTTTTAAAAGTAAAAACTGTTAGTATAATGCACCCAGGATTAGTTTTCAGTAATATTTTGATTGACGTAACAAAAAGTTAGTTTATAATTTGATTTTCAACTGTGATGTATAGTGCCAGATCACGGTCGGTTGATAAACACTTGACTCAGCGGAGACAACTTTTTTCGTAAATTTGGTACGACTCCAGACCATTCTATTTGAAAGACCCTATTTAAGAGCAAGAAATTACTGAAAAGATACACATCGAAATAATAGAAAATACCCTGTTTCTTTGATAAGCACTTGTAAATCAAATAAAATAGAGTATTAAAAAATATTTTTTTTTATTTTAATCTTTGAAAAATACCAATTACAAACCCTTTACTACAAAAAAAGCCTTAAAACGGTAAATCATACAAATTGCACGTCTGCACATTGAAAGTAAACACAATCAAACCCAGATCTAGTTGCACGTAAATGGTCTATACTTTGTTTGATTTTTAAGAAAGATAAAGGGACGTTAATTGAAGCTATTATACTTTACATGGACCAAGAACAGTGCATTAATAGAATCACCATAAATAATCAAACCTTCATTATAGATTATTAAAGAATGTACATTTTCTTTAAAAAAATCCATTTTTTAAAATATATTCCAGAATTGTTTAATATCTATCATAGAATTATCTAACAGCTTTCGTTTACTTTTATAATTGATGTACTGTAAATATTCAAATTTGATAGTACGTGTTTTATAAATCAAATGATTTTCAACCTGAACTTTTCTAAGAAAACAACTTTTGTTGTTTCTCATAAAAGTCGTTTGTGGAGATGTCCTTGTCACGTTGTATCTTGTGAAATTATAAGCACATAGAATAGAAGTAATTGGTTAAATTTGTTTAATATTTGTACAGTCCTAAAATATTAATTATTTTTACTTTGACATTCGCTATTTACACTTTGATGGACATAATATCGCGCTTGAAGAGGAAATAATTAAATTATAAAATATACACGACTGTTTCATTTTATTGTCATATAGTTCTTCTATAAAGACAGTGCATGCATTTTCAAGTACTGAAAGTTAAAGGAAAAGTACAAATATTCAAAACAGACAAAATAAAATACAGATAATTGTACAATAATAGGCATTTCATGAGTTATGCAAATGTATCATTATAATTATTTCACATTTGGTTAACAATTAAGGCTTTGTTTAGAATCATTTGAAATTCCCGATACATAAACTTTCCTTGTTGATCTTGTTTACCATATTTCATAACATTACAAACATTCAATCTGTCACCAAATTTGAAAGGATTCATGTAAATAGAAGACTTTCATTTTGAAAAAGAACCAGCAAATTTCACAATCGTCCTTTGTTCTTTCGCTGCTGTAGTACACAATAAAACACAAATACTCAATATAATTCATATTAAATTGCAAACTTGTTTGCATACGGACTTTTATACATATATTTAATATGATTGTTTTTGTAAATAAAAGTAGTAAAACAAGCTGATAACAGTATTTTACAGTTTCTGTGAAGAATTGTAACATGTAACATCTTATGTATCGGTTACATATAGACATATTTCAGAATAAGAACAGTATAATAGACTTTATTTAAACATTAGAATTCACCAACATTATTTTTGAGTTATCAGCCTTTGAATTCGAAAATTATGCGGAATGCCACAGATAGGAAATTCACAATTGTTATGTTTTTTATGCTTAAAACATAGCCGACATTCTGTTGGGTGATTATGCAATATTTCTTCTTCTTTATTTAGAGCTATGCTCATTTTCTTACAATTTTTATATATTTGCTGAGATTCTTTTCAGTAATTATGCAAAATTTCAAGAATAGAAAATAGTAGTTTGTTTATTTTTTCTTTTTTACTTCTAAACATTTTCATATTTTAACAACATTTTAGTCTTTTTACTTTTACTGAAAGGAATCTCATGAAAACTTGTATTGTGGCCAAAGAATAAAATGGAGACATTAATTTATGCGTATTACAAGTTAGGAATTTGTAAGACTAATGTATAAGTTATTTGCCCTTTGTAATTTCCTGCAATAACAAAAAAAATCACAATTTCATCGGATGTTAAATTAAAAACGAGCTCTCATGAAAATTTGTATTGTGGCCAAAGAATAAAATGAAGACATTAATTTATGCGTATTACAAGTTAGGAATTTGTAAGACTAATGTATAAGTTATTTGCCCTTTGTAATTTCCTGCAATAACAAAAAAACATTCACAATTTCATCGGATGTTAAATTAAAAACGAGCTCGGGGATCCTTTTATTTTGTTTTCTTTTAAAATATGTTCTCTTCCAAGTTGATTGTCTTCAATTCTGAAACTATAAAGATTTACAATAAAGAAGAAAAAAAGATAATTCCTAACATTATATAATAATCTCATTTGTTCCACCAAAAGTTATTATCCAGCATCAGTCATCTGCAGGTAATTTCCGAACTATCATCCACCAATGTCTCTCTTAACTCAGAAACAAATGTTATGTTACAATGCTGCTTGCTAAGTTATTATTTTCTAAGATTCAAATATACAAAGTTTAAATCAAACCTTTTTTATTTTTATTTTTTATTCTATTTTTTTTAACTATATTTTTATTTTGCTGTATTTACATTTGTAACCAGAACAAACGCCTGTTTTTTTATTTTGTCTAAAAAGTAAGGAACACAAATGTTGCTATATTTTTTAAAATAAAATAAAAATATAATTTGCCAGCCAGTAACGTTTTTTGAAACAATAATCAGAACACCCAAAACAATAAAATATTTGTTTTTGTAAAATAAATTGTACTTCTGGGGCATAATGACCATTATTACATCTCCAATTAGTGCTTATCAGGACGACAGTACTTTTATTCAGTGATAGACATTGTCTTGTTGCAATGATTCAACCGGGTATATAAAGAATTGTTATTTTTTGGCCGAAAAATACTCAGTTGTTTGCAACAGGAAACCACGAGTGGATACGATAATACTTAGTTTCAGACGACTTCGGAATAGTGACCTTTTCTTATAAATAACAAGGAGAAAAATATTGGAGCCTATCTACTCTTAGTGATTCTCTGCAAAAAAGAAAAAAAGAGGAAAAGAGATGAAAGTATATTTGCAGACCTGACCAGCGTGAAGAACAGACTCATTGCAGTTTAAATCTAAAACAATGTTTTACAGTCAAAAGCGATTTGTAATGGAAGACGGAGAACTTTTAATCTCTTTTTTCGCATAAACTTTCCTATTATTTACAAATAATTTGTAACGTTTAATTCAGGTGGAATAGTAGTTTACAAATACCTAAACTGTCCTTGTGTGCAATTCAGGTGGAATAGTAGTTTACAAATACCTAAACTGTCCTTGTGTGCAAGCAGTTCAAGGCTCGATACTCGGGTGGAGCTTTGTTTTGATTGTAATACTTATTACCATTTTATACGCCCGAAGAAAAATCGTAATTAAGATAGGTGATGACTTTGTAAACAACTTGTAGATGATATTTTTATTACATTTTAACATTTTCTATTTACACTGTTTGTTTTAACTTCTATATACTGTATTTAAATTCGAGTCATGATTTTAGTCTTTTAAAGGTTTTATAATAGAACAGTTACTGTAAATAATTATGAATCTTTCATCGATTTTAAAAACGTTGTTCTCTATATACAAATCATTGCAATGTATTGTATTCTTCTTCTACAAATGATATAGATATAATAACATTATGACATTATGCTAATTTTAATCAATTTGGACAAAATTGATTATATTTTCAAAGGATTGCCTGTTGTTATGGCGATTGACCAAAATATTGACAAATATTTTGGATAAACTGCCTTAATTATAAACATGACTGTCCGCAATCTTTTAATAAAAATGAATGCTACCGATAAATTCTCAAGGGCATCTAAATTTGCTTTTGTTTGTCATGTGCTTATAATTATTTTATTTTTTCAGGTGTAGTAAATTATACAGTTAAAAGCAAATATTACAAAATGTTAAGTTATTTCAATGACATTTACCATTGACACTTTTATGGACATAATGTCACTGTAAGAGATAGAAAACGTGTAAAATATTCGAGGAAAAGAATTGTTATTGTTAAGAGAATTTCATACAAAGACAGTGCAGATATAGTTTTTTTTTTTTAGAAATTTAGCATTGAAAGAAATGTGCGAATATATAAAACAAAACAAGAGTTTCTTATTCTCAAAGAATGAAATGTTCAACATTTAATAAGTTATGCAAATTTATCATTATAATGTTCTACGCGGTCTTTGACAGATACTTAAAATTTCAGATAATGACAACAATATCTTAAATTCATTTTGGGTTTACAATTAAGGCTTTGTTTAAAATCATTTGAAATTGCTATTTGGCAGTTCTTGTTACACCTTAGAAAGAAATAAACATCATTATTTAATGCATTCAAGTTGTCAGAGAATTCGCTGAGCTGCATATAAACAGAAGTTCTTCACGAATCATTGCAATTCAGATTTTCCTGTTGAACAGTTTTAATTTGAAAATGAAACTAGCACTTTTCGTAAGTGTCCTCTATATATTGAGTGTTGGTGTTGAATCGTCACCGGTACCTCCACCGGTACCTCCTCCGACGACAAAATGGCAACCAGTTTCTGTTTTGCATAAAAGGGCAATTTTAGCTGCAAGTACGGCTGCTAAACATCTAGAAGTTGACTATATTCGCCTGTTACAAGCTTGGGAAAATGTGCTGGTAAGTCTTTTTGATCATAAAACACTGCAACATATAAATTAGATAAAATTGCATACGTGTTTACAAACTGACATTTTTGCAATATAGAAATATGCATATGTTATAGAAGGAGTGTAATAATTTTCACTTGGTAACAATAACTTTTATGTATGGCAAACATATATGAACCGTGTCTTGACAAAAGCCAGCATAGTGCGTGGATCAAGATCAATGATTTACACTATTAGTTTCTCTTCTTGTAATAGAGTTTGTAGGCAAACAGCAATGATCCTGATCAGACTTTGTGGATGCGCAGATTTTTCTGGATCCATGCTGGTCGCAAACGAACTATGTTGGTTTTTGCCGTTGCGCAGCTCATATGTCTTTTAAAAGATCATAACACCAAAATATCGACCATTTTCGGTTTGTATCGTACAGTTCTCTTATGATAAAAGTCAAGACTTTAAAATTCTCATTTCTTAATTGTTATATCGTTCAGTACATTAAAATATTGCTACAATTGTTTTCAAGATGATTTTTGGTAATGAAAAGACGTTTGAAAAATATAATAAGGTAATGAAAAGACGTTTGAAAAATATAACAATTATTGTCTACCATATTAAATATCTGTCATGAAGCAAGTTAGTACCAATTATATCCATAAGTACATAGTTAACATATATTTTCTCTTTGTATTTGTTTTGTTAAAACGTTTATCTGTTAAGCTGCTTACCGTAACTGATACAATTGTTTGTTCCGTCTGATCCGAGTCTGCACTGTTAACTACTCAGTCAGTTACAACCCGTTTGTATATTTCTTAAACAACAATGAACAAGTTTGTCCAGTAGATTTTAGATTTTGAGCAAGTTAAGAGTTAAACTAGATAATCAAGTATTTGTATTGGAAAAAGAGTTTCTTATCATAACATACCAAGTGTGCAAACGCATTGCGCTAACAAAGGTACAATAAAGTCGAATTGTGAAACTTTTACGTTGAGCGAATATTTCCACCCAAAAGATCAACCTCTTAGGCATGGAAACTTTTCTTCAAGTTCCATACCCATCATGTTAAAGTTTGTACTCAAGAACGAAATAGTATTTTATTTTAAACTTAAATCATTTTTTCTTCTACAGGTTCAATATCCACTAGAGGAATACCGGGTCATATTCAAAGCTAGATGTCAGTATGGCATATTGGTATGTTTAAAGTTACCTCTCAAGTATTGTTAATTGTATTATATTTCATATGTAGTGAAAGTTTGTTGGTTTATTTGTTGGATTTAGGGTTATATAATGACATGCTATCATCAATCTAGCATAGAATGATTATCTATGAGTTCTGCTTAAAAACAAAGAACCATCATATCCCGCACTATTATTTCCCGTTATTATTTCTATTTTACAAATCGTCATTGAACTATTTTATGGAATATTATCTATACAAATTACTTACCATTTCTCTTTATGGATATGCATATTTGTAATATCATGTATGAATTCATGGTATGATATAAAGCATAATACTGTTTGACCTATTATCACTTTTTTTGCGTAACAAGTGAGTACACAATATACAATTATTCATTGATAAGTTATGTTTTTGTTATCTGTCGAGCAACATTAATAAATTATTTCAGGTGTCTTTCTTTACAAAGTAAAACATTTTGGTTCTGATACAGTATATTTCGTTTCTTGGATTGTTTGAGCTAATTTTGTTTCTCGGTAAATAATTAATACAAGATCCCATAGTAACGACATAAATGAACATGTAATTTGTCTTCTTAAACAACTTTTACACCATGGCAAGATATATATAGCTTTTACATTAATTTCAGAAACAATGTCAAGCGGATGTGTATTTTCACGGCCCCACCAGTAAGGTTTACAACGCATCCTGCTGGCAGGCTATCGAGGAAGCAAAAGCACAAAACAACGCATATTGAATTAGTGCTTTTGTTTCAAGAAATATAGGCCACTGGTCGGACAAACACAAAACACCAATACAATTAAACAGAAGTGACGAACTGCAAAAATAATTTAAAGGATTAAATAATTCAAAATTTAAACTATATCAAGTTTTTCTTCTCTTATATCTTTGCACAGTATAAATAAATTTTAAAGAATTTAAATTTCTTTTTCCTACTATTGTTGATAACATGAGAAAATAAAACTATGAGAGAATCGGTTCTTAATCATGATATATTTAACATAAATATACCTTATGTTGTTACACAATGAACATTCAAAGACAAATTATACTCGTCCTCAATTACAATATTAAATTTTGTCTTTAAAGTGATGTTGACTATAATGGAAGGTATGTTATACCCTCTATACTTAGTACGTTGATAGCGTGTAACATCATACACGACAACACAACACGAAAGATGTACATATGATGATTGTTCGTAAGTAACGATGTCACATATCTTTAAATAGCAGATTAAAAACCTCATCAATGTGTTCTAGATGATAAATAAATAATTGTTCATATTTGGAGAATCTTCCACAGGAAATAATTTTGTATAAGGAAAATTTATGTTAAATCTAATTTAATTTGTATTCAAAATATGGATACCACTATTATCTTCACTTGAATAAATAGATGAATATTCAAGTGATCATATGCAACAAAAAGAATATCCTTTACATAAATTATAGAATCTGCACTTATCAATAATTTGAAAGTTTCGATCACGCAATAAAATTCAAGTAATTTGATAAACACAAGTTTGATTAGCCAGTCTTTAAACAATCAAAGCACAGAAGGCGCTGAATTTGTTTGGGTCTCAGAATGTCAGAAAGGTGAAGGTTGTGAGATTATAAACCAATTTGTTTCTGTATAGTGCCACTAATGCTATTTCCAGTGTTACAACTGTAGCAAATTAGTTATAAGACTAATTACAACACTGATATTGAATTCAATGTTTATTTGGCTTAAACAATTAAAAAAAACAAGAATTGCCTTAACTGGGATTTGAACTCGAAACCTCTGACGACCCAAACAAATAAAATCTGTTATACTTTCAGAACCACAGGTACATCTGTGTTACTTTTTGTTTTACCAAATGAAAAATGTGTATACCCTGGTTTACCGAAGTTTCAAAACAATCTTATTAATGTGTCACATAAATCAAAGAATTCATGTTCATCATAAACAATACAATTGAAAATCAATGTTTTTATCATATTCTATTTTTCAAGCAAGCTGCAATGTTCTTAATATTCATCACAATCAAACGTTTTACGATTCCTTATCACTCGCAAGTTAGTTTTGAAGCTGAATCTAAATTCAGAGACACAACAAAGTACTTTTTACATTTAATTACAAAACAGTCAAGCAATAGACTCGGCCATTATTATGGATTTGTTTATTAATAGCTTTAAAGTGTATAAAAACATATATCTGATGAAATATTTTATAAAATTTTTAAACATTAACATAATGTTGATTTCATAAGCTAATCGCCGTTCTTAAAAGATTTGTTACATAGAATATCAATGTAATTATCGCCGTTCCTATACAATTAACAAGATTTGAACAGTTCTGCCTGTACACCGCCAGCCTTTAGCCAAATTGAATAATTCATTATCACATGATAACAAAATGGACATAAAAAACTTCAATGAGGGATGCTTAAATGGACTCGCCCAACCTCCATGTTTTGTCGGGTAACTTATTCGTACAACTGAAAATTATCATTATCATTGTACGAACTCAGTACCAGTCTTTAGTCTCTTGCAGGATAAACACAGCAAATTGCAATATTTTTTGCTACATGTCATTTCTGATTAGAGAATGTAGCCTTAAAAAGAGTATATTTTGTTTTCTTTCAAAGAAGAAAACCTTATAAATGCTTTCTCTTGGGCAAGTTTAATACTATGAGTGTTGTAATTGCATCATTATCGCATATAGCAGGTTAGTTATAGTCCGTTTAAGAAAAAGACTTCGCAAAGCAGTCGACGGAATATATAACGTAATTTCCTTTTATAGCATGTTCACAGACATCAATTTTAATGTGTAGCAAGTAAGTGTTGTTAATTACGCAAGAAGCTAATTCTTTTTGTCGATTGATGCACGTACTTATTAAGTAGCGCATCTAGTCTTACTTATTGTACTGCGCGTCAAGTTAGTGTGATATTTTTCTCTATGGCAATACTGAGTATCTCCAGCAGAATCTAGCTGAGCGCGTCAAGATGTTTTGACAAGAACGGAATGGCAGAGTAAATCAAGTATTTGTGTTGGCTTTATGTGTTGAACACATACAAAAAAGTATTAGGCAAAAAAGGAAAATATTATTTCTATATTCATGGCTGAACGGCGATTCCAAGCTTTTTTGGAAATGCTAATACTTGTTTAATAAACATTTAGTGTTCAAAATTATTTTTCGTACAATAGTTTTGCAGCATTTCAAATAAATCGATACACATTTACTTTGGTAAATCGGCAAACTGTTTATCAGTCTAGTAAGTCGACTGTTTATAAAAATAATTTGAAACACTAAGCTGGTTAAAATTTATTAGTACGTATTATACAAAATTAAATTGGTCCCAAGAGTAGACCGAATGTGGCGTTAAGAGACGGTATCTGATGAACATTATGTATTCCTATCTGATTTATGTTTGGCTAGTTTCCAAACGGATACTTCCGTCAATTGTTTCTCGAATATATTACTAGACTGACGACGGGTATGTTATGGAATAACATCGTAACGATAAGTAAATATATGTGTTGTAGATGTTTTTGATTTTTTCTTGTTAAATTGCCTTCAAAATGTCGTCTGTTTCTGTTGCACGTGGCCCGGAACAACATTAAGTCAACTAATATGGTCATCGAACACCAAACAAATGATTGGATCGAACATTTAGGCGCCATAAATAAGGGGACAGTTAGAGGGTAAGTCAAATATAAATGAAACTTGAAAGAACGCCCGAAAAGTACAATTCCCACTGAATAAGATTATAGTGCATGTATATAATTTGAATTATATAATAATTTTCCGTGTGAAACCCAGATATAAAGCAAACATATTTTCTCTTTATTTCATGTTTTTATGGTTTTCAGCCTGATTTACAAATGTTTGCTACATAATGGCATCCACTCTCATTGATGTCAACAAATCATTAATGTCATATTATTCTTGTTGAAAAATAATTATGTAAAATTTCAAAAATTTTGTTAAATGTTTTTGCATCATATATGCAAATATTTGTGCTTTTTTGTAATCAATTGCACTGTTTCGGACGACAGAGTGTATTTCTGACGATATTTCCACTTACGTTATTTTCAACTGCATTCAAATATCCGGCTTCTGTGAACATTATCTTTATTAGTTCACTGTGAAATGATGAAAATCCGAAATTCAATGATAAAATACAACTATAAAGACAGTACAGATATTTACATGATTTGAAATTTAAACAAAAGTACAAATATTTAAACCTGACAAGATAAGTGTCTCCACATCATTCAAATTTAGCAGGTTTCAAATATTAACAACAATGTATATTTCACGTTAAGTTGGCAATGAAGGCTTTGTTTAAAAAGATTTGAAAATTCTTAGGACATAAACATCATATAAATTAACAAATTCAATATGTCAGCGAATTTGCTAGGCTACATATAAATAGAAGTCCTTCTAGAATCATCTAAAGTTGGCTTTGTTATTGTAAGAAAATTGTTTGGAAAATGAAACAAACACTTTTTGTAACCACTGTTTGTTTATTGAGTGTGCTATTGATTCCATGCCTTGTACAATGTGGCATCCATTTTATATATGAATAAATTAGATCCGTATTTCTTGGGTTTTTTTTATTAATCTTGATCTTATTTAGTCCATTATGTACTAAGCCACCAAACGTTTAGACTTTACTGAGAACCAAAAAAAATTAACAAAATGATTTCCGTTGTCATTCCGTGCAATTGCTTTTAAAACACAATGTGTTTATTCTAAGTATCAGACTTTGACGGTAAAAATTATATTATTTTCGCGAATGCTAAACCATTTCAACAAAAGGGTCATAAAACATTTAAGGCCAAAAACTGTTATCATTAAAAGTTTCCCCTTTAAAGACAGTTTATATAGTTTTGCAAACCTAAATATTTAAAGAAAAACAACGAATCTATGAAATAAAAGTTTTGATTCCAAAAGAAAAAGCATAGTTGATGACATCTTTCACGATCTAAAGTAGTTTTTTTAATTCAAAAAGTTACAATAAGATCTTTATTTAATATTATGCTTACAGTTAAGGCCTTGTTTAAAATCATTTAAAATTCCTGTTATGGCAGTTATGGTTACACCTTTGAAATAAACATCATCATTAGACATTCGAAATGACAGCAAATTACTGAAGTGTATATAAAGATGTGTCCTTTCTTTTGTAATTTCCATTCAGCTTTCCTAGTTTAAACACGTTTATCTTTAAAATGAAAATTGCAATCTTCGTAAGCGTCCTATGTTTATTGGGTGTTGGTGTTGAATGTATGCCTGAGACAATATGGAAACCAGTTGCTGTTTCGCTAAAAAGGGCAATTTTAGCTGCAAGTACGGCTGCTAAATTTCTTGAAGTTGAATATATAAGCCTATTAAAAGCATGGACAAATGTAAAGGTAAGACGTTTATTTTAAAATAAAATACTTACATAAACTTTATATAATTAAGATGAAATTGCATACTTCTTTGCAAACTGACCCTTTGACAATTTAGAAATATAAATATGCAACAGAAGACTGTATTTTTCCACCTTGTAACGATGAAGTATGGCAAGACATGTATATGTATTAATGAAAATAATTTGACCGAAATAAGAATCATTGTCTTTTTATATGTAATGCACAGATTTTATGATAAATAACAAAAATTTAAACATGTTATTTCTATTTTTATTTCTTCTACCAGAAATAACAGAAATAAATTGCAACCATCGTTGTTAAGATAAATTTTGGTAATGAAAAGACGTTTTAAGTCTACAATAATTATGTTATAACTTGTTGAAGCATATTGGTATTTATTTTCGTAAGTACATAATTAACGTCCTCAGTAGCCAATTATGTACAATGTCACCAAATGCTTTGTTTTTACAGAGCAACAATAAAAATAGACAGCACGAATTATCCCGTGTAATCTTAAGATGTCTACAAAAGTGCGAATTAATACTGTGTTTTAAAAGTATTTTTTTCC